CCAACCTCCTGCTTATACCCAACCTCTTTCATCACCAGAGTGCTTTTCGTGTTATAAACCATTCTAATCAGGATCAATATGGGCTGGTAGATGTTTTGTCGGCTGGATTCGAACTTGTATTAGTAAATGATTGTGAGACTGAGCAGACCTCATTCGCAATTCAAAGGGCCAAATTGTTGACTAAGGAAATTCTCCCTCGCTTTTAGTTTACGGTCAAATTACTGGTTACCGTCGTCTCTTCCCTGTGACATTCTTCCATTATTAGCCAATAAAGTCTACCCTGGTCTCTTAATAAAATGAGTAAACTCGGGACAAATAACGGAGAACCCGGTTTCAGGGTTCTTTACTTTAGAGGAGAGGGATTGCATGATTCAAATACTGTCATTTCCTACCGTTTCTACCCGAGAGAACGCTATCAGATTTCAAGCAGAGTAGGTCCTGTTTTCAGCTTTCTCTCTACGGAATTGGTTGGCCTTTCTTCAATGCACCACGATTTACAATAAGGCAGTGAAAGTTTGCTAGAGTATGTAACCTATCATTCTGTTGTTCACACTGAAAGAGGAACCTACAGCCCGCTCCTTTAGCTGCACGTTAATCATGACTATTTAAAGTAATTAGACAAAACTAATCTCTTTGACGCTGAGGTTGAAGATTTCCCGTCTAATATTCTTGGCACACTGAAAGCTGTGTACTGAGTCATAAATTGCCCTGTAAAATGTCAGGTTCATTAGTCTTCATCAGCCTTCGCGTGTAATTATCAGATCGAACGAACATTGGTCGTAGCTAATCTATCGTTTGGAAACCCGAAGAACAATACAGGTAACTAATACGTGTTAATCAACGGGATATTTCAAAGCAGATTTTAGTATTTGTTTGTCAAAGTATAGCGGGCAGATCCCATTCGTTGAATACATCATATAGCTGACTGGAATATTTTAGTCTTTTGGGTGTTGGGTTGATTTCTGATTGTAAATAAGCGGCTTGTTTACAGGAATTGGCGTTCTTGTTTACCAGTGTGTTTAGCTGTTCAACATATTTGAACGTGTGTTGGCGTTCTGTGTTAACCAATAATACCAGCAACACTTGTTGTGGGAAATGACCATTCGAGGAAATTTTCGAAGTAGCTTGGAAAAGTGTCTCCGCCCAATAAGACCCTCGAGGAAATTTTCGAAGTAGCTTGGAAAAATGTCGTTAGTGATTCCGCCCAATAAGACCTAATCATCCAGATGATAATTGCTCATTGCTTAAAGTCCTCTGGTAATGTCACCAGTGTCCTCTCCAGTCTCTAATTCATTCGTGCGCAAAGAAAGATGTTGATACGATTTTGAAGTTGACTTGTTTTATAGACTGAGTTTACCCTTATTCTGATACCAGGGTTTGAATTCCGATGGATTAATGCGCGCGTTTTTATTGACAAGAGATGAACATCACACTCTGGTTTGCAGAATGTCCGGAATAGTGTGGTCTTTTATGAATCGCCTACGTATGATAAAACTGGCTTCTTGGCTAAGGGCCATTCAATAAGGAATATTAGTAATGCACGCCATTATGGTTCTATGAAAATTCACTAATATTGATTTGTTATTTTCTAATTCCAATGCATACTCATAGTTACGCTGGATGACTTTGTGGTGTTGAATATTTAACGCCGCTTGTTGCTCAAAAATAACGCAGGATATTTTTCATGTGCGTTAGCTTTTATTTTATTTTATTTCACATCCAGGCTCAACTTTTAAACTGCCCTCAACTAACCGCTGTGTTCCATTAGCCTGGTATTTAGACAGGACCATCGACAGGTTTAACACAGAAGACCGTTTAGCTTATCTGTGTGTTCTGTTTGTGATGACACTAAACCTTGCTTGTGCGAATGTCTTCACAGTTCGGCTTCAACCGATCTTTTGCAATACAGCTTGGAAAATTGCTCAACAAATCGTATCTTATATCCTACATTGTTTTATATATTGTCCTATATTGTTTCTATACTGTCCCGGATAAAAGATACCCACTATTTACATAAATATCGTGAGTCAGCACGATATTCAGGAAAATGGTCCTGATTTTGAAAGCGTGTGACGAGCTTAAACGGTCTGCGTGTTTTTCTTGTCAGTTTCTTACAAATACTCAATAGAGCCCTGCCTTGAACATGGTTAAATTCTCGATTGTACCACTTGAAATCCTAAGGTGTAAAAACACCACAAGCGTATGACTTGGTGGGGTTATTTTTACTCTACGTAGCTTATGACAAGCCATATTCCGGAGTTTACCGAGAAAATCCTAGGTTAGAAGACATCCTTTACTCTGCCTCATGAATATCATGACTCGATCAAGCTAGTCGGAATGAAACTAATGACAAATTGAACGCCAATCGGCTGATCTCATAAGTCCTTCACCTCTGCTCAGCCACGGACAGCAAAACTGTTTTGAAGCACCGAAAGCAAACTTAATCACGGTAGCAAATGTGATGGCTTGAACGAACAAATCAGTTGATGGCTTCGACAAAACTGGATAGCTGTTGATAAACCACACAATAAAGTTACAGCTGAAGTTAGAAGTACATGTGTATGTTACCTTTTTTGGATTACATGACATAAAAGTGATCAACCAGCACTACAACTTCTGTTTACCAGAGGTCAAACAGAAGCACAGAATATAGACAGATTGGCAGTTAGAAGTGATAAGTCGTCCTTCCTTATTGGGAGAACAGAATAGTCCTCCCTGTAAGGCAAACTTTATTAGACCAGTTCAAATAACGTCAGCTCATCTGCGGATAGTCACAAGACACCCCCATCACTACAATGTTGCAGTACTTAAGATCCCGTCGCTGAATGAGCCCAAAGGAATCCGAATCATATTTCTTGGGCAGATAAAAAACGCTCTCCTCGGATATCCTACCACAGGCGTGTTGACGATTCTGCCATTTAAGAGCACCGATCAAGTCATTTTTCCGTACTTTGCACTACTCCATCTACTTATCTTAATGAGAACAGGCACGGACCTGCTGAAGCTCAGGCGCACATAGATTTTTTTCAACATCCAGTCCAAGCGCTAGGCCTCTCACAAATAAATGAGTGCGT